TGTCACGTGCTGCACTTCTGAACGGCAGATAGTAAGGTGAAAAGAGCCATTCAAGGCCCTGCACAGCACAGACAAGAAAAGAACCGCGTGCGGCATAAAGCTGTTTGAGGAGCCAGATGCTCCTAAGCGGCATTATCCTTGAGCACTGCTACACCCCGTGACTGACCAGACCTTCCCCTTGCAGTTCAGGCCATCACCAGAGGGAAAGGGGAGGTTGCTAAGTCTTGTGGATTTGCTTACAGGGCAACAGTTCCTACACAACTAGGAGCATGGGCTGCTTGTACACACCACGGGGGTTTCCTTCAGTTTAATTCTCCCTGAATTGAAGCAGTGGGTTTTTAAAAACACTGCTTCAATTTAGGGAGAATTAAACCAAAGTAAATCCCTGTGGCGCGTACACAAAGGTCAGGCTTGATCCTTACCTGCTTCTCGGAGGTGTTTTATTTTGCTACGTCCCGAAGTCATTTAACGCACAGTATGCCACCAACAGTGTAAACAGCAGTGCCATGGATGTGTAATACTCTGCCGACAGTGTAAACAGCAACGCCATTAAAGCGTAATAGTCCGCCAACAGTGTGAACAGCAACGCCATTAAAGCGGTGCATAAGGGCATTTAAGCCGCTTTAAAGGCCAATTTTGTGGCGTGTACAAGGGCCCATGGGCACCATCTAGAGGAATCAAGGGAGTAACACACGTTAACAGCCACTTCCTGCAAGGCTGGCCCGGGAGAGCGGTCCGTCTCCTCATCAGCTCCACATATGGGGTAGCGAGGGCGTGACCACACAGCCCAACCCTGAATTCACTCTGCTTCTGGGGTGCATTCAAGTACCCCAACGCCTGCTGCCAGGTTGGCTTCTCTAAGCCTCCTCCCTTCCCTCCGTCTCTCGCTGTCTAGAAGATGAGGTCAAGACCTTTTTACTTGCCAAGTCCTTTCATACCCTTCTTCCACCCCAAAGATGAGTTACAAAAACTAACACTTGGGAAATTTATAATCCTCAAATCTGTCACTTCCATTTTGATTTGATGGGGAAGAGACTTGGTCTTAAAAGAAGAATTATGTAGATCTAACTGAAAACATGCCCTGTCCTCCTAGTTAACACCCCTGCCTCTTCTGCCCTCCTTCCCTCCCCCCGCACCCACCTGCAGCCCCTGGGGAGTTCTTACCTGAATGCGACAGTATAGTAAAACTCGCTGCTTGCCTGGATGCAGGCCACAGCGCCTTGAGGCGCAAAGCGGGTCTTTACAAACGGGCGTGGATGGAACATGCTCAAGAGTTTGTGGATGATGATCTGTGGAGAGAATCAAAGACAGCAAACATGAGACCAGTCACCTGTAACACGCATTTCTGCTAAGCAGAGTTCAAAGCCTACCCACTTAGACAGCCAGGAGGATTAAACAATCGACACAATTTAGATCGGACTGAGATGTCCCATCTTACACTTCTCCCTGCATGTTCAAAATCTGGCTAAGTGTATTTAATAATTCTTCTATACACTCTGCACTTCCAGAGCTCTTAAGAAAACATACATGAAAAGCACAAGGTTTAACACCACAGACGAGCCCCTGTGCCACGCACCTCCCCTGGGTGAGAAGGCAGACCGTGATTCGGAGAAGGTGGTGTTCTTACCTCTTTGCCCTTGGGGGCTGGAGGGTAAAACCGGTTGTTAGAAAGGTACCCGGTGAAGATGTTCAGTTCGCTAGGGATAATCCACCAGGGATCGCCGAGTTCCAGCTTATTCTTTGGAGGGAGAAAAGCTTTGAACTGCCTGGCAAACATCACGTTCACGGGGGCCGCTGGGGCCGTCCAGTTCCGGAGCCCAGACAGAGCAACGTGAGAAATCTGCAAACACAACGAGAGCATCAGAACAGCTGAAGAGGATGCGGGAGGATCTGAAGAGTGTTGCCATACGCAATGCTGATGGATAAGAACTGGTGCACGGGGGCCAGCTTTCTGGAGAAGGGAAGCAGAGTCTATCCAAAACTTTGCCTACGATCAAGGGCCTCCTAGCAGTTCCACTGCAGCTGGAAGTTTCTGACAAAATAACCAGTAATAAAATAAAACTGCTAACCTCATCATACTGATGAACAGCATAGAAATGGCCATATATCAACAGAGTGTCTGGAGTGTAACCACCCTCTCTGAGCAAGGGGACTTTTCAGAGCTGAAGCTTCAGTTTTGCAAATTCCAGCGGAGAGTATTATGCCCAGGTCACACATGGGAGGTTTCTCTTTAGTGCATAGCTTTGGAAGTCTGTACATAGTATAAAAAAGGGAAAGGTACTGCAGAAACTTGTGAGGTCACTAGCAAAAGTGCCAAAATAATGTGCCAGTGGCCTCTGGCTTAGTCTGATCCCTGCCCATAGAAAGAACCACCCTAAAAACAAACACAATATATTCGTGTCGAGGTTATTCCAATGTCCAGAGCCGGCTGCACGGGTGCCGGTGAGAAACCGATTCACACGCATCCTGTGCACTTACTCCTAGAAAACCGTCTTTGCTCTTCGTCATCGTTTCCATGAGCAAGGGCTGGAATTTAGCAGCGACAGACAGCATCTCCCCACTGGGATCCAGCATCTCTTCCTCTTCGTATTCAGAGACAGGAGTAACACCTAAACAAAGCAACAATCATTTAACAGCTGGGTTATTTCTCCCCCCCACCCCCTGCAATCCGTGATGAGATGATTATACGTTTACTATCGGAGCAAATTCATTGAGAACCTCACAGCTGTCGCTTTGCTGCATTCGGTGGCTCTAAGAGAATTCAGATCCACCTCCTTCAAATAGCACAGGCCTCTGTTACTTGCTTTAGAGGAGAATCGCCCCTTAGCCGAGAGCAGTATAAAGCCTATGTCCCAGCTGAGCGGGTCTGATTCCGATTCCATCTAGCCAGGAGCCGATATACACGCTCCAGCCAGCTCAGTACAGCAGGATCAAACACGCTGGGTATTTTCACTGTAGTTTAAACCCACCCGCGTGTTATCGCCATGATATTTCAAGCGTTTGGCTTCCCCGAGAACCATTTGTTACTAAGGGATGCAGGCTCCAAATGGGCACTTGCTCAACCACTATCAGAGGCAAGCAGAGCAAAATCTGAATGGAGCCCAGGGACTCCCAAATGGGCTTGGCCTCGCCAGCGCTGAGCTGTATCTATCAGTTGCCTTCACCCACCCCAAATCCCTTTTAAGCCCCAGACAAAAGTAACTTATGTGCTTTACTAGTCCAGCACCGGGAGCATCAGTCTGACAAAGACCGTGCTTGGTGAAAGCAGTGTCTGACACGTAAGCCTTTCCAAAAACACTTACAGCTTAGCGGCTGCTCACTGTAGAGGTTAACCCCCGAATGGCAGGAGGGAAAGAAAACGTAATGAAAGCCACTGAATACATGTTATGTCCATCCACGTCACCGCACAGCTGACCTTTCAAGGTCCATACCTACCCGTTAACTTCTCAGCTATTGGCTTGAACTCCTCAGGGCTCAGGTACAGATCATTGTTAGTGTCCAGGGAGGAGAAGAGAAAAAAGCCCTCATTTCCCAGAGCCTTCAAAGCTGTCTCCTAGGTGAGAAATAAGAGGCAAAGAGTCTTAATTCAAGCTGCTCTCCAGAATTAATTTAGGCCCCCCCCAGCTCAAGAGTTATTGTGCATCTTTAACAATTACAAACAGAGCTGTCCAATGCACAGACGAATGCTCGCTGGCAATACCTTGCTCTATTGACAGTAAAGATTAGTGTCTGGGAACTGTTGACGGAAGTGCATTAAAACTACATCTGGCTGCACAATTCACAACAAATCATTTGCTCTAGTTTTTCCCTCCTCTCTTTCTGAGTTGTCCCCAACATCCCTTGCTGAAGGCATTGTGGAGGCTGTCACAGAAGGTGTTTTGCAGGTAGTAGGCTCCCTGTTGGTCACGGGCAAATGAACAAGTTACAGAGAGTTAATGGGCTTGGGCATTTATCAGTTGCCGTGCATTAATCACCTGCGTGCCTGTTCTTGCCGCAAGCGAAGGGGAGAGTAAACCATGGTCATTTTGCCGTTTCACTGAGAGCTGAATTACTGTGGCTTAACTTTTATCCGACATAGGGCAAGAGCAGGTGCACGGACATTTAGCACGCACCGGCTGCTCCACAGCAAGCCCCACCCGCTCTTAACTTGCTAGAATGGGTTCATTCATTCACCCGTTCCCACAAATGCCAGGGACCTGTTTTCATAGCTGGGCATCTTACCCAGGGTATGGCGACTTGCCTTAATTAACCAACATCCTATTCAGAGCGTGGCAGTGATTATCTGAATGAAAGACTCGCTTCACACAAGCGAAGGGAAAACTAATCGAGCCCTCGTACGTTGGTAGAAAGGGAACAAAAAGCCGACAACCCAACGACATTCACAGCCTGGATGTCAGTGGTGGCCACCTAGAACCAAACTGGGATCTCGTAAGCAAATCAGGGTGGGATGACAGCTTTCGGTCCCTTGCTCCTAAGAAGGGATGTCGCCAAGTTAAATCAGAATTCAAATGTTCCTTCCTCTGCTCGGCGAGACAGTGCGTAGCCTGGGGGGAGCAGGTCCAACCTTGAGAGCACGGAGGCGGAAAGGGATCTTGGTGTCATTATTGACTCCAAGATGAACATGGGCCGGCAAACAGCGCGTAGCCTGGGGGGAGCAGGTCCAACCACCCCGCGCCTCACTTCCCACACTGAGACACGAAGAGTGCGGACAGACGTTAACAGTGACACCGGTGTTGCATTATACTGGTAAAGGCTGTTCACACACTGACACAAACCACTTGAGTTCGCATTTGAATTTACAGCAGCTTCACTTATTCCAACGCAGGTCTGGAGAGAGAGAAGCGTTATATAAAATAGCCAATGCATGTGTCCAAGAGGTAACTCCTTTCCCCCCTTCCAAACGATTAAAAGTCACATCTGTCCCGAGCCAAGCCCTCTCGGGCCTCCCCCGAGCAGTGTGCAAGGCCTAATTCATTACAGAAAAACACACGGAGAATGAATCTCCGGTGGAAGGTGCCACCGAAATGCAACTGTCACTTGGCAGAGACCTAAACAGATGGCTCTTCCAGCCCGTTCCTCTCCGCAGCATTCAGAGCACAGGGGGGAAGAAGAAAGACAAAATGCAGGCAGAAGGCGAGCGTGGGGATGCTGGGGAGAGGGACAGATAAGATGGGGAAGGGAAGGAGAGGGTCAGACAGCCCTGATCCTCCTTGCCACTCTGCAGCAGGCTCGGGCTCGTCCATCAAGGACCACGCTGACAGATGGGGCCAAGTCCCCACCAGCAAAGCCTCCAGGACCCAGAGTAAATAGTCTTTATTCTTCTCTGTTTATTCTCCACTGCCTGCAGCACCATTAGCAGCCCCAGAGCTCCTGAACCCGTTTATTCTCCATCTGTTGTCTGCCAGCCTGAAACACGGCTAATGCAGCCTGGAAGGCTCTGCTCCTGTCGAGTGCAGCCAAAGTGGTACTCGGGGATTTCCAGGGTGGAGGGGAAAAGGGAGAAGGAAAGAAATCTCCCACCCCGGCAAGGCAGGCAACTGGCAAAGCACCAGTTGGTGAATAGGACTCGCAGAGCACGGGAGGCAGGTCTCTCTGGGCCAGTCAAGGCCCCTTCGCGAGAAGAAGGTGAGCCAGAGCGAGAATATTAATAAGGGATGATGGATTGGAAGGGGAATGAACAGCGAATTAATCCAGGCACTGAAGCTATCCTGGGCTTTGCCAGACAGGATCGTGCCTTTATTCCCTGTAAAAGGGCCCACAGCACAGCTACCACACCGCAAGCAGGCAACCACACCGCGGCACACCGCCGCCCGGGCATGGCTCGTACACGAGGTCCTGCAACCGGTGCAGCCAGCTCGGGGCCTGTATCACCGCATTAGGAAGTATTTCTAAAAATGGACCAGGCGTTTCAAACGTGCCCCCACCTTGCAAGTCAGCGCGACCTGCTTTTGGCAGGGAGCGTTATAACCCAGGAGCCGGGGAAGCTCGGAAACGTAAACAGCATCCTGCAAGGGCAGATGGCGCCCGCGGAGCTGCGGGCAGGCATTCCCCAGCGCGGCTGCAACCACCGATGGGATGAACCCTCGCCGGCCTCTGCACCTTTCCTTTTTGTTTTCCCTTTGAACTTAGTAGGTCAGAAACGTCACTGATCTGGGCCTCGGGAGACTCCGGGCCGACAGCAACGGCTGAAGAGCCTTTCTGGTTCCCGTGCTGCACTGGGCACGACACAACGCAGCTTCTTCCTGTTCGGATGCTGCAGACGCCAGAATTTCATCTGACTTTATTTATAAAGAGGGGTAGGAGCCAATCTGCATGCTCCGAGGGGGAGCTCATCGTTTGCCAATGGGACAAGTGGTTTTCCCCGTTTGTATTGTATCAATCCCAGGCTGCGGGGGCCAGGAAGGAGCCCTTCCACCCCCCAACTTGAATACAGTACTAGGCTTGTAGGGTCCCCACCCCCTGCCTTTTTCTGCACCGTCAGACTTGGACCACAGCTAGCGGACAGCCTGCCTGGGGCACCCCGCTTCTCCTGCTGGCACCAAAAACCTCGCCGGTCCTTGGCTGGTGCATCTTAGTCGAGGACTCAGGAAAGACGCTCCCTCCCAGGTCAGACTGGGGAGGACCAGCAAGGGGGTTTCACCTTCCTCCGCCCTGCGGGGCATGGTCCACTTGCTCGGATCACCTGGACATGCATTACCTAACCGGCCCCACGCCACCGGCAGTGCCCCCTGCTACTCCTGCTCTCCTTCACTTGGCCTGCTGTCAGGCTGATTTGTACTCAGGATCCTACACGTGTGTTATGGGATTCATTGTGGCTGGGGTGCGAAGGAAAGCCTGGGCTATTCCTGGGGCCCCTTGCATGTTTTTTCCCCTAAAAGAAGAAGCATTCATTCTTTGAATGACAACCGGGCAGAATCCAAGGGGGATGAGACCAGTAAGAGGGTCTATAGTGTCACGCGTGTCACAGGCAAACGTGCCATCAGCCAGCTGGGGCCCACATATGTGGCATCGGGGTACAAATGGGCACCCCTCCGCTCCAAAAGGCACTCTCTGCCACGAGACGGGTTAAAATAGCTGCTCTTCCAGCAAAGCTAGTACCTGGGATTGCACAGGCACTTTCCCAGGGGGTATCTGACCAGCGTAGGGATAGCTTGGTCCCATTAGAAATACTAACAGAGACACAGCGTAGGAGGCCTCACCGTCCAGGGAAAGCACAGCGCTTCAGCCCTCTTGGAGACGATGCTCCAGAACAACAGAGCGTGCTACCAAGGCTTTCGATATAGTGCACAAGCCAGTTCTGACAGTCTGAAACCAAAGGGAGAGTAGAGACAACCTTTAAAAAAAAAAAAAGTGGGGGGATGGACACGACAGGTTTGTGCCTTTTTGCTTCTTTACAGAATGCAAAACAAAAAAGAACCAAGATTTACTTTTAAGGTTCAAAACCAGGCAGTATCAGAAATAACAACTGCCTTTGATGGATAGTGGAGGACCTGAGGCAGAGACGGAGCTCCCCCAGTTGTCAAATGAAACAGCAGGAGCAGTCGGAGGCTCCCCCAAGCCTCCATTGGTCATTTAGGGTAAAAAGGTGCTATTAAAGGAAAAAGAGAAAATGAAGACATTTTAAACAGGCTAAAGGGAAGACAAAAAAAAAAAAAGCCTTCCCCCCAACATGAATGCTCAGCTGCTCAGATGTCGTGCTCATCTCTGGCTGCGCCCGACCCAGCCTTTGCCATCGTCCCTCTGCCCGAAGGATTCAGCGAGTAAGACCTGTTATGTCTGATGCAAAGCGCCTCCAAAAAGACGTCCAGAACGGAAATCCTCTTCGACCCTCTCTGCGTGTCCGGCTGAAGCGGGAGGGGACAGAGCGGTCCCCTCCGCACTCAGCTTTGCGGGTTACACCCTTCCAAAAACCAGGGTGGAGCCGTGTTTCAGCCTCTCGCATGCTGCATTTGAGGCTTAAAAAGGTCCATTTCAAAGAGGGATTTGCCCCCTAGGAATCCCGGGACCACGCAGCTAGATGGGCCTTCGCTGGAGCCTTCCTGGATGTCGGAAGACACACCCGTGAGGCTTGCCTGCCCCGAAGATACTAATTACTCTCTGACTTTCCATTCATCAAAGACGTCCTTTCTCCCAAGTATGGCAGAAGTCACCTAAGTTGCATATGTATAAGAACTGCTTTAACGGATCTGATGGGGGGAAAAAAATCTGTCCTCCTATTACGCGACTGTCGTATTTCCCCCTTTGGATGCAATTACTCTAGCTCTGCAATCCCCACCCCCGGCCCACCCGGCACCAGGCTAGCACCGCGCGCGGCTCCTGCCCGCAGTCTCTCTAGGCCAGGCGCTCCCAGCCTTGCTGGACTCGAGGCACCTCTCCATGTCTTTTGTGAACTGAGCGGCACCCAAGTTCAAGCACTCATCTCTAGACTACGGTGCGCACTTCCTTGCAGAGGCCTGGCAAGAGGGATCGGGGATTGTCCAGGCTCCTCTCCTCCCTCTCAGGACCCCCTTCAAAAGACCCGGCAGCGCCCCGGTTGAGAATCACTGCTCCAGA